TCTCTCTCTCTCTCTCTCTCTCTCTCTCTCTCTCTCTCTCTCTCTCTCTCTCTCTCTCGAGTAAACTCTATCCTGCCGGTGCAACTTCCGCCCCATTCTCTCGAGTTTCTTTTTTTATTCGCTCCTCTCCATTAACGTCTTTTCTTTTCCGCGCTCGCAAAACTTTCTCATTATCTCAGCGAAAATACGCAACTCTCTTTCTCGGATTGAGTACGATTCAATTGGTTTTTTTGTTGTTCGAATAAGGAAGTGATTCCGGGTATTGACCCCTATAGACTAGCAAATCCTGTTTATGTGGGATTGTCTGGTTATTTTTAATTTCCATTGCATTTCGAGTATTCTCTTATTTTCTTTATTGTATCTCTCTCTTTTTAGCATAGTCTACAGAATGAGGTCGCTCTATAGTTTCAAATATTTATTTGATACATTTGATTAATTTATTAGATTATTCTATTTTTGTTGCGTGCATTTGTTTAAACATGGCTCTTGTAATTTTTATTTTTTGATTTTTCTATTTTCGTATTTTTGATTGTCCAATTTTTCATTTATTTGTAATCATATTTTATTTATACTTCGTGGTTTATTTATTTTGGTCTAGGTGAAGAAGACTCAGTGAAAAGTTGAAATTGTGCCATTACGTTTTAAAATAAAGTTCATGTCTATTTGTATTTGACATTTTTAATTGCTCATCGTGACTTTCTTTTTTTCATGTAACGTTGCTTTAAATATTCTAAATTTGACAATTAATTATTGAAACATTACATGCGTGAAGAAATTACAGATAGTATAATATTTGAACATATCGCTTATATAATTTCTCTCAGAATAATTAAACATATTTTTGTTCGATAATGTTTACGAATTTTTATGTGAATATAAAAAGCAAATTATAATAATAATAATTAAAAAACATTAGATATCTGTATAAACAGTAAGTATGACGTAATCGTTGAGACAGGAGTAATGTATTAATGTATTAATGACAATCATTACACTTTCATCTTATAGAATAAAGCTACATAAATTAATTATCTACAAAACCAAAGATACCTCGGTTACTTTGATACATTTTCCAACTTTTTTGATATCTTGTAAATAAGTACGTTTTTTTTTATATCTAGAACTATTACATTTTTGCTGAATATATGAATAACAATGAATGTGACATGGCACTCGGCTAATAAGATCGACTGATAGAACGCTTGCTTAATAGAATTGTCGGTAGTTAAAGCACGGACGGATGCAACGCGTCGTAGCAAATCGGACACGATGGACGTGCCTTTGAAGTTTAATTCTCGGTGTAATTAGAGTCACGCCCGGCCATACAAAGTCGACCGTGCACGTCGTTACGACATTGTTCTCGCCGGCTGTAAATTCGTGTCTCGCAGTGCCACGGCTAACGATTATACGATGGGATTCAAGTTATTCGTTGAATTTTCGACGCAGCGTTTTTCGCTGCTCGTCAACGTGACAAAGGGAGCGAGATATGTGAGACCGGGCGAGGCGGCATTCTGCTACCGGCTTTCGCGAATTGCAAAAGTTTTCACAAGGACTTTTGTTTCATTTGGGAATGGAATCCGGTTATTTCGTTTTTGAACCTGGCGTCAAGAATTTTTGCCGGGTGCAACAAAACCTTTTGATATTGTTGTATTCGTACATGTCATTAACGAACATGCATTGTTCTAAGGCTGATATTAATAATATTAATTGAAACAGTTTTCTGACATCTGAGCTGCGGCTCGCAGATTTTCACGCGGTTCTCTTCTCTATTCTCTTCGCAAACGCAAATTATACTAGCTAGTTTGACGCATATATTTTCCGCTTGTAACTGCTTTGTAAAATATTGCAGAGAGGAAATGGCTGCGGGCGTAACATATACACAATTCACAAGTCTACCGTGAATCCACAAGTCCGCGATTACAGATAAATTAGAACGATAGTACAAGTCATAAAAAAAATTTACTTGCTTACTGCTACTCAACCTTTTTTGCTCTTAGATTAAATCCCGTTGAAGACAGCAATCTTATCGCATAGATCACAGACGTCGATAATTTCATTTAAGAAGTCGTATACTTTTTAGTAAAATTAATTTTAAAAATCTACGGACCATTTTAATAAAAGTTATACCGGCATTTATGCTTTAATTTTTTCGTTGTTATTTTAATAGTTTATATTGGATATTGTGATTTATTGAGAGGTATTCGATTTACATAGGGCTTAACTGACCGCAACTCAATCTTTTTTTGCTATTAGATTAAATATTGTTGAAGACAGTGCAATTTTATTGCGACGAAAATTTATTGACATCAATAATCTCGCTTAAATATATATAGATATATATTATATAGATATTTTTTAAATTAAAAATTTACGAAGCATTTTAATGAAAATTTATACTGGCTTTTATGCTTTAATCGCTTCGTTGCTGTTTTAATAGTCAATATTCGATATTGCGATTTATTTAATCTCGCCTAAGTAGTCATATATAGATATTTTTATAATTGATTTTAAAAAATCCATGAAACATTTTAACGAAAACTTGTACTGGCTTGTTTATGCTTTAATTGTTTATATTGGATATTTTGCGATTTATGAAAAGTATTTAATTTACACGAAACTTAGACTTAACTTACCCATCTATCAGTGGCACGTCCTTTAGAATTCTGCGAGCTGCCGCGAGGCGATCTCCTGCGTGGGCCGCGAGCAAGATCCTCGTCAGTAACTGACCAAGGACCATCACGCCCACCACCATCCTCATCCTCCTCCTCGCTGGACCCGCAGCGCGTCCTTACTAATGTCCTCATGCCATCACCATTAACCCACCGGCTCACCCGTAGCACTTCCTTTAACCGGGTTGCAGGATGGCCAGGATGTAATAGGATCGTCGATCCAACTCGTCTCGAGTTGCGTATCTAGTTAACTTCTACAAAAGGATTATCTAGCATGACCATATTCTTAATGGCGACAGTTTTAAGACCTTCGTCGTACGACAGTAATAAAGATTTATCTCAATTTCTTGTAAATTCTTGGAGGACAATTCTTGGACTTTCTCAAATTCGTAGACTATTTTATGAAATCTTAATAGTGAATTCTCCTGGGATTCGGGAAGGATCCGGCAATGTTATTTACTGATATAAGAGCAGCCGGAACCACGCACACGATTTTATCACCACACACGTGGAAACACTCAGTTTCTTCTTTTGCTAGGATAACAGAGTTCAAGAATCAACGCTCACCTTTCTCTTCAACCGGCTCTTCTTATCTTCGGCACATTCGTCTTCACACATCCTTGAGCCCACCCCAATTTCTCACATCTAGTGGCCTCGAAGGTTCACTTTTTCCACTGTCGTGATAGCTACTTTAGGCCCTTCCTCCTTTCGTTCTACCCAACCTTTCAGATTAACCTTCCAGTCTCATCGCCATACACTCCGTCCGATGCAGCTGCTCAGCGTTTCTTATTCCTCTCGTCTTCTGGTTTCTTGTCCTCCGAGTGGAATACCCTCTTTGTGTGTGTCACTCGTCCTAGCACTTAATATCTCCGCACCGCAAAGCCAACCGTCTTTAATGCGGACACTGATTTTTGGACACAGTGTTGCGATGCATTTAAATCGATTTATCCCATTCCTACCGTAGCTTGAAATTCGTTCGTTCACTTTTGGAATTAATCTTCTGAAACGTGTCTCGTTGAAGCGTACCGTTTGTCACCACTGCCGCTTGCTCAAATGTCTGCACGTTGATTCTTTGCCGGCATTTACCTGGTCGATCGAGAAATCAATTACTTGATGAGCTCCTCCTTAATAGAGCTATTCTTAATCGCTTGCAAGATGTACTTAGTGTGCTTTCCAACTTCACCCGTTACAAATTCTACGGAGACGAAGATGACTTCCGAAGCGTCGAGTCGCCTCGGGGATTTGCTTCGATAGTTTGATCAGGCAGACAGGCTTTCAGAGGTTTCCCCCCGTTCTTGCGTCGTCTTTCTATCAACCCTTAAGGATTGAAGGCCTCCGAGTAGCGTTCTTATCGACTTCTTCACCGGCGCTTGAGAGATCTAAAGCCAGTCGGTAATCGAAGACACGTCACCCCTTCCGCGATCCTCACCAGTGTAAAGTGCCGCTGGTTGAAACCACTTAAGCGAGGTTATCGATGTCGATGGTCTTTAATTTATGTCGGCACCAGTCTTGGGCTCGACGCACTTTGATCGAACTATCCACTAATGGGTGTATTTAAGAAAATTGAATTCCAGTTAGCTCTGTTAATTAAGGCAGCATTTCAAACGTCGAATCTTGTCACCGTCTTTCTTCACTGTCTTGTCTAGTACGCGCTGTACTCGCAGCTTCTGCTATCTGCAGTCGAGAGTTTCACAGAACCATTACCTTCTCGGGGGTGTCGTGCTACGGACGGTGGTCCCACAGGCGGTCCGCTCGTTACCGTCCTGAAGATTAATTAGACCGGCGAGACGGAGACGTCGTACTATCCGAGCGCGAAAACCTTTCCCTAGTTCCTTCTTTATTCCCGCGGTCGGGGATCAGTGTTCCGGCATGTTTTTTGATACGCGATTCATCTTCCGATATCCTCGTGACTTCACGGTTCCCTTTTTTTTCTCTCTTTCTTTCCTTTTAGAGAATCAGTCCTTCCTCTTCTTCGTTGTTACTAAATCACTTGCATCGGCGACGGCGTTTCATAATCGTGCGCGGCAAATGTCACTGTCACACAACGCGGCCCGTAAATCCGTCGCGATTAATTCGGCACTCGATTAAGTTCCGCGATCAATTGCGCACTTGAAATGTGGCGGGCGGATCTCACGGCGCCACAGCCAACGGCTTCGACGTCACTAGGAAATGAATCGCTACTCGGCCCGGATATTTTCTAACTTCCGCTGACCTGTAAGAGGTAGATTTTTCTAACTCGTAGCTCGACTTGCGAAGAATTATCGCCTGGAGGAATCTTCGACGAGGAATATATATAGGTCAGAGAATTGGTACGAGTTGAAATTCACGTGATAGTCCAATTTTAATTATCGCAAAAGTTTTAAAATCCACTATTAATGTCACTTTGATAAATTACATACTCGATCGAACTGCATTTTAAAATTTGTTTGCCATCGCGTCGCGTATGAATGAACCGATAGTGGATCAAAAGAATATATTAAAAATTAATATCCACATTAACAATTTTAATAGGCTTTTGTAATAGTGATGCTACGTATTGAGAGAAATTAATGCCAGCTCAGAGTCCCGGGTCACGAGTAAAGCGAGTAGAATTTTCGGTCTCCCTCTAGTAATAATATGATTATCTCCTCCATTAATGTCTTACTCTCGTCAAAATTAATAGAGACCAGATTGGTTAGCATCGCGTCGGATTACGGAAAGGCGATCAAGCTGGTGCATGGTATCGGCTATAATTGATGACTATAATCCGTTCGTCACTGTTATTCCCGCGGGTATTACCGTCGCAACATTTCGAGTTATCGTAACATCGGACGTCACGGTGATAATTCTGGGGTAATCATTTCCAGCCATGATTTCTTTTTTGACATGTAATCTCATTTTGTGCGTCACATTGAACGATCGTAATCTTCTCATTACGGTTGATAATTCGACAGCTTATAGAAGACCGGATAAATCGAGAGAAGGGGATGGTTTGCAACAACGAGGCCGTTAACGTCGATTGCGACTAATGAGTTAGCTTGTTCATAATTATCGGCAGACGCGTGGTCGCTCACGCCCGGTTAGCGCCGTGATACATGGTATTTATCTACATGTCAATGATTAATTAATGCTAACGGCATTAGCGATCATGTCTTTTCAACAGTTGCAGCATACGCTGTATTGTGTACTAGGTGCTCTTTAACTATTCTGCCAATAATACCTACCCATATCAAATTTTAACAGTAAAAAATTTTTATTGCAAATGAATGAAGAGAGTTATATTCGATTATGATGGGTCGACTTGGTGTCTAGAAATATTTTGTGTCAATTTTTACAATTTCCAATTCAAACAAATTATGCGTTGAGTATTTATTGATCTTGAAACTTAGCCTGAAGCTGGAGTAGGTACGTATTTTATAAATTAAATTGGTAAGCAATTTAATGTTACTGATGCTGGTATAAGCATCTTTAAAACACTATAAATAATTTATTTATACAAAAATTTTTATACTTTTGTGTAAATAAATTTTGTTTCAAAAACTCCACCTTTCCAAAGGACAATTTTGCACAGACTTTATCTCGTTTCCGCTTTTACATTTCTTGTGGAAATCTTGTGAAACCCGGTAAGGGAAAGGTGAAAAATTATGCATTGACAGAAGGCTTACCCTTCTGTTATGTTAATACGACGGATTTCTCTTGTATATCTCTTTCGTTTTATGAAGAAGATCTGAAATGATTATAATTTGCTCGGTACACGTTTCGAAACTAGAGGTAACGATCGGTGCGAAAATTTAACTTGATATAATCGTTCTCTGTATTAATCACACATTGGATTGTGTGTGTTAATTTTTAGCAACGTTTTTAATTTATAGAATTTTAATATATAAAAAAAATACAACTGGCAGATATACAATGCCCCCCCCCCGTGAAAAATTTAGAAAAATTCTATATTTTATTTGCACAACGGATATATTTATCTAACATCTGCTACATTGTTTATTCGAAGCATGTGTCTATTCGAACTTATAATGAAAAAACTTTTTCACGCACAGAGAAACGAAATTTTGTTTCCCGTATCGAATGCAGGTCACCGTGGTGATTTGAACTTTTAATACAATCGCCGTTCAAGAACATCTTTTTTTTTTACAATAGGGCACGTTCGATGGCGTTAATTGACGCGAGGGAACTTCATCGACGTCGTAAGTTTAATATTCGAAGATGCGCGCGAACGACCCATATTTTAGCGTGACGTGGAAAAGTGACAAGTTAATTTAACGATCGGTAAGATGTACAGTCATCGCTGATAGCAGCAGACTTTTCCACAAAAACGAACACGCGAATCGAGACGGATGCACCTGACAGTTGCGTTTCTTGGTAGACATTTCGAACGTTTCTTTCAACAGTGTATCGAATCGCCGCCAAGTTACTGGAATTGCTTTCGAAATTTCGGCGTCCGAGAAGAGAAGTTGTACCTCCGAAATATGACAGATTTTTCTGTCAAACACGAATGGTGACTGAATAATTATTTCTATTCAGCGTTTGAACTGTGCAAAATTGTTGACATCTAAAATTGTTGATATTTAAAACAGCAAATTACCTTTTGAAACCGTGCTTCTTTTCACAACTTTTTTTACCGCAATTGATTTACAAGTATTCCAATATTTTTTTATGAAAATCATTTTGTATATAACACTGCGACGAAGGATGTTCGATTTAAATAAACGCGATACTTCTCCGCGAGATCTTACCACGGACGTTTCTCTCCGCCCTTCCGTTCCTATAAAAATTCCGGTGCTCGTTCCGTAGGACGGTACACATCTCATAAAAGTCCGTGTGCGGGTACAGGACGCATCTGTTCCGCTCATAAAAAGTCACAGAAGTGCTTCCCGATATATAAGATCCTCCGTGCGATTTCCCTCGCAAGCCAACCGCGCAAAACTTTTTACGAAGCTTTTCAATACTAGTTTCGCCCTTCACGAGAGCGAGATTGCGAGATCCTGTTTACGGGCGTGCGGATGAAACGACCGGCATGCCCCGGCAAGAATCCCGGAATGTCCTCGAAATTTCGTACGTGATCCTACTTCGATCTCTTCTCCGACGTGTGCAGTGGGATAGGTCGGCGCAATCACGACCCACATATACCGGAGGGGTGGTTCCGTCGGGTGGGTGCGTCGCGACGCGGACGACGGCGCGGATCGTGCCGTTGCTCGCGGTCCGGAG